TTCCTATTGGCTATTGCACTTTGCAATAGCCAATAGCAAACTAGCTATTGCACCCGCCCCCTGCTGCTTTCAATCACCAGAAGAGGACCTGATAGAAAAATTCAGGTCCCCCTCTGCTGATTGACAGCAGCAGTGGGCGGGTACATTACCTAGTTTGCTATTGGCTATTGCAAAGTGCAATAGCCAATAGGAATCTAGCTATGGATTCGTATGCCTTTTTGTTTCTTTTCTGACTGACGGTCGGGCCGCGGCTCCCGATGTCAGAAAAGAAAAAAAAAAACGATCGCAGGGAAAGGTTTATCTGCTTGATCGAGCAGATAAACCTTTCCGGGAGGAAGTGTTTCTCTACAGGGCGGCCAGGAGCCGCTATCCAATAGCGGGAGACTCCCGGAGCGTCCGGGAGAGTTGGGATGTCTGGGGTTATCATCAGAGCAGGAATAGATGGGAAATCTTCCAATCGGGATACTAGTTCTGGTGACCCTGCTCACCACCAGGGATGTCCCTCACTTTGAAGAGATGTCCTCTCACATCCTGTTGTGACTATTGGACAAGAAGTGAAGGGAAATCTCCCAATCGTGTTAAACACCAGGGATGTCCCTCACTTTGAAGAGATGCCCTCTCACTTCCTGTTGTGACTGTCGGAGAGGTAGTGAAGGGAAATCCCCCCCAATGGAACACAGATTGCAGAATAAAACCTGACAGGGGTAATACATTCCCTTGCTCTATCCAAAACAAAAAGTTTTGACTGTTTTTTCATTATTATACCACATAGACAGTTCTGTAGTTTCCTCCGTTAGTGATTATATGTATTTTACTATGATCATTGTTTTTAGTCAGTCAGACTAGACTGGTAGAATTAAGAGATAGATACAGCAATTATTAATGTTATTATTATTATAGTATAGTAAATAAAATAAGACTATAGATTTCCTTTCATCAGAACTGAGAGGGCGCACATGTAAAGTGAATACATGACAAATACTGTATATCTTGATTACAATATTGTGGGCCTGATTAACACAATGCAGAAATCATTTTACTTTGGACATTCATGCCAACATTGCTAAGTAATCAAAAGAGGAAAAATAGCCCTACCTTCTGTTTACAGCAGTCTACTACAAGGCAGAATGGTGATAAGTCTGCATTTTGTCATCAAATCTGTTTGGGTCAGGATCCCCCAACAACAATACCACCAGCAGACACACCGAGGTTGTTGCCAATAAAGGCAGTTAAACCTTGGTGCCACTCCAGTCTCAGGAACACGTGGGGGTGTTTACTGGCTGGAGTAGCGACTGTTCACTTTGCAAAGTTAATGCTGCTTTGTAAAAAAGGTGAAGCTGTGTTCACTTCAATGTACCAATCATGTGGAAGCAAAAGTCCTGTTTTTTTAAAGCTGAACTCCAGCTTTGCTACAAAGTTGTATGCCCTGTTTGGTGAGCTGCTTCACACCAGGGTGGTTGCGGATCAGTGCGGTTACCACGCTGATCTCAAAAGGGAGGTTTTGGGAGTTTTTAATTGTGTTTCAGCACTGAAACGCAATTAAAAATGCCCAAAACCGCGATGATTAGCGCGGTTTCATAGAAAACTGTATGGAAACCGCACTGGTCAGCATGGCAAAAATAGTGCAGGCAGCAGTTCGGGCTTTGGGCGGTTCGGATCACGCGGAACCACGCAGTTGCATAAACGGTCCCCATAGCAATGTATAGGACCGTTCATGTCAGTGGATCCGTATGGTCGAATCCGTGTGGCCGAACCTCCCCGGTGAGAATGGGGTGTAAATGATAAAACTCTTACCTTGCAGCATACCAGCTCCTACACTTAAGGCTGAGCTTTTGGGAGCTGTGGGGAGCTGGTGCCAGTCTATGATCCAGAGCAGACTCCTCGGGTCCCGCGATGTCTGTCCGACGTGCATGTTCACGGCTGCGTGCATTTACCTCCACTGTGTCTCTCCTCTTCTCCCCGCCGAAGATCTTTACTCCGCATGCGTCCGCACAGCTGCTCGAGAAACTTCAGATCTTCAGACGGGAGCGAGCACTGGAGACAGGTACGTTTTTACCTTTTTATAATGTTTTTATTTTTTAAATGTTTTTGCATATATCTACTGCTTGCTAGCACTAGATATATACCAAAAAAAACGGAGAGTTTAAAGGAGAACTATGAGGTGAGTGCTTTTCACTCACATCATAGTTCTAGGCGACCTGTGACAATGAGACTGTCACAGGTCGGCTCAGTAGATCGGGAGGTGAGCGAACACATACCGGCGTTCGCTCACTTCTCGATCCTGTCACGGCTCTCTGCCGTGACAGGGGAGGGGCTGGATTCCCCCCTCCCCGCTCCGATCTGCCAGCGCTGACTGGCGGAACGGACGGGGGAGGCGGCGGGTTCAGCTGGCTCTGCCTCTAGATAGGCAGAGCCAGCTGTCAGTCACGCAGCTGGGCGGATCCCGGCACAATTGTCGGGATCCGCTTCAGCTGCGGCGTCTCAGTAGCTCGCGGTATACTGCGACGTCTCGGTAGCTCGTGGTATACTGCGGCGTCTCAGTATACCGCGAGCTACAGCTCGCGGTATACTGAGCCTAGGGTGACGGGAGGACCCTAGTTTGTGTCCTCCCGTTACCCTAAGGAGAACTATGGGGAAAAGCCTTAACCCCATAGTTCTCCTTTAATTATACTTTAACATAATTAATATAATGCTTTAGATTTTGCTGCGATACTAATCAACAATTACAAATAACCAAAACTATACATGTTAATTCTTTGTTTTAACTGTTCAATAAGGGCCGTGCAGGTTTAAAGTATATGTACTCCAAAACTCGATTTTTCAGTAAGCTTGGCATTGCCTCACTATATACAGTTTTCCTGATCATGAATTTGTGAATCTGCTGCAATGCTTCTTACCTGGGGATCCTGCCAGTAAGAGCAATTTCTGTTGCAAGATGACAATGCTTAGCAGCAGCGTTGTCACACTGCCATGCAAGCTCCTACAAGGGGCTGTTGGGCTGCTTAAATGACAGACCTTCAAGGGTAAGTGTGGATGAGGCAGGAGGACAGGACAGAGAATCTGCAGCACCCACGAGCCAATGATCCACCGATCTTGGTTGCAATTCTTTATTGGCTTTGAAGCAAAATAAATAATTAATGCACATTTTTTCTTTCATGAAGAAGTGTGCATTTATTATTTGCTTTCCAAGATGTGGACTTTACCTTTAAGAAAAATGTAACATTCCTCCACAATACCCATCCAACATTCTAACATTAAAAATGGCATCAAACTTAGGTAAGGTTTACTCATTTTTATAAAAGATGAATTATAGGATAAAGTCTTCCCAGCTTACTATAAACTGAAGGATCATGGGCTTCCAACCAATTTAATTTGGTATACACACACATACTTGAAACACAACACATTTTCCCACAGAAGAGTTCCAGGAAAGATGACAGTCAATACAAATCCCTAGTGTTGTATTGTCTCTATACATTATCAAAAACAAAGAGCCTGCAGCAGCTAATAGGATCATGGCAATGTGTACCACCTACAAAGTCAAATAGCTTCTATGTGTTAAAGAAGAACTCTAATCCAAACACTACGTACCAGTAAACATATCAATCAACATCACTGTAATTGCTGAGTGGATACCAGGGTCACTATTTGTCTGTAGATTCTGTTTGATTATTTTGTATGGCTTTCCTATGTGTTCTTTGGTTTCCTGCCACATAATATTAGTTGTAAAGGTTAATCAACTTCTAATATTGCTCCACTAGGAGGGTGTGTGTGGATGACAGTGACAGGAACATTAGACTATAATCTTCTCTAGGGCAGGAATTGATGTTGATAATTAAATTTTGTTCCCCATGGTCCCTGTGTGTGTTGTAAAGTAGCCACCGCTCCAAGCTCGCTTCCGTGATGGACTACTTGAAATGATAGTTTATCACAGGCGCGAGCTTGGAGCGGTGACTACTTTACAACACTCGCAGGGACCATGGAGAACAAAAGTAGCCCCCCTCCAGAAGGAAGGACAGTGTCAGCACCAATTCAGAGATGATTTGAGGATCTACAGCCGAGTGATACACAAATAAGATACATTTTTGATAATAGTTAAGGTACTTGAATGCATTTTTAGAATTTAACTAAAGAGTTTAGTTCAGTACAGCGCTGCATGACGGAATAAATGGCAGTCAAAGTACCGCAGCGCTGAATACTGAAAAATGGCCTGGATGGGAAGGGGGTTTAACACCGCGGATGTCAACTGGTTAAGAGTCCAGTGTGTATCCTGTTTGTATGTAATGTAAAAATACATATAATCACTTTTTTAAAGCCTGCATAAGTGGATTTACATATTTGCTTATTCTGCTTTAATATTTGCCTGTAATGTTCCTCACAATGAAAACAAGAAAATTCTCGGTCATTGACATCATCTGGGTTTTTGGAAGTTACAAATAACACATTTTTACATATAGATGTAAATAGATGATTCATATACCTACTTCAAATTAGGCAACTTAGGCAAATTAGGGGTGACATGAAAGAGCAGAAAAGGTTCACTTATGGCCGGTTCACACCACCATGGTTGCAGAAATGCATGTGACGCAACGCTCATTAGTGTAGTGTTATGGTAGTGTGGTGTGTTTTGTTTATTCAGAATGTATTTGGAATGTAGTCAATCAACCAAAGCACCAAGGGAGAACCTACACAAGCATGGGAAAGATAGGTTTGGATCTGATCCCAGGACCAACAGCACAAGAAATCATTGCTAAGCTCTGTGCCACTGCGCTGTCTATTCCTTATCCATTCAAATGTATATAAATAATGGGGCACATTTACTAACACCATTTTTTTAATTGCCCCATTTTAACCTATTAAAGTCAGTTATTCTTTTTTCTTTTCAATCCCCCTAAACCTGATCAGGTATATTTAGGGCAAATACATATCTCCTTAAAAATGACTACTTTAGCAAATCAGCCTCAGCTCTTTAAAGTGAAGCACAATTTGATGCGTCTTACCCGGGGCGCCGGTGTCTAAGGCTGGCATTGTCCTTAATGGAGACGCCATCATGTAAGCTTATGTCAGGGTTGGTGCTCTCTATTACCCCTACATACGGTCGGACGCCTCGTTCTCGGTCACCTGTGGCTTCTTCAAACAGCACTTGACCGCTGAGCTTACTGAACATTATGGTGTTCATGGCGGCACAATATAAAGTCTCCTTCCTGATTCAAGATGATAATGAGATCTCCGATCTAATCAATACCTAGAGAGGAAAAGAGGGAAATGTCAATTCACTGCTCAGCAGGTCTATCAATGCACACAGAAAGCATTTCTGGAAAATACTAAAAAAAAAATATGTTAGAGCAACTGACAACCCAACATATTCTGTCCTAAGCCTGTCATTGGTTGTTGTGGGTTTGAAAAATACTTTTTGCCTGCAGCAAAAGTTAGAAGCCAATTAGATTTCAGTTTACCAGTCAGACCACTTTTGATAATGGCTGTTATTTCCTATGCAGAGAACATAACACATACCCTACAATGCTTTGGCACTCATTTGATGGCGATGATTACACATAATACATTTTAATTTTTTTTTAAAACACAAAACAAGCGTGTACTGGATTGCGCAGATCATTTCATTATTACATAATAGATGTTGAAGATTGAAAAAAGACACAGGTCCATCAAGTTCAACCTCTGTGTGTGTGTGTGTGTGTGAGTTTTATCTGACTGGTGCGAAGGAAGGCCAATAATTATGGCTGGTATGTTTGGTCTTTTTTAAATGGGATCTTCCTATATTTTCCTCTCAACAACGTGCCCCCTATTAGTCAGGGCTGAGGACTTCTACTGAACGGGATAATGATTAAAGAACAACCTGTTCTTACATGCCTGCTTTTAAGCATAAGAAATGTTAGTGCGTGTTTTCCTTTCTAATTTTAATAAACGAACTGATCTATGCAATCCAGTATGCTTTTGATTTATTTTTTAGTTTTAAGCATTTTTCCCGGGATTTTTGTCACAGAGCCTGTAATGATATTCAAAGCTGTGATTCTTAGCGCTTCTGAGATCTTAAATAGAGACAAACCAAATGAGCACATCCTAATGTGTATCTATACTTTTTTTTACAGCACTTGGAAGATGTATAGAAACAATACACCGACGTCTAGTTTATTCATATATCTTGATATAATTTATAATAGCCACATTTCTATATAAGCACTTTGCTCCTTCAACCAGATGTAATTTATGTAATATGACTTGAAGGCTAGCAACACAATAATAATAAAACTTATTTCTGATTGGTTGATATCACAAGCACATGGGAGGTCTTACTAGTAAAATGAATGAACTAGCATCACCTTTACAAAACTGATGGATCAGTTGGCTGTATCTGGCTAAGGATCAAGTCTTACGTCACTAAAGAGTATTAAAATTGTTCATGACAATCATTAAGGGGGTTTTCCCCTTTCAGTGATAAATTAATATACCACACATGCCCTGCTTCAATTGGTTGCCAATCATCAGGGGTTACCAAGTTCAGAAATCCAACTGATTACAAAATAGTGCTGTGGAGTAGGTCTTGGATTACCGCTGTTTGTAGCTCTACTCTTTGGTGTGAGAAAGTCAGAACCCCATTGATTTTGAGACACACACAGTCCAACCTTGAAAATAACTTTTTAAAAATGGGTTTCTGAGTATCAGCTGCACTGTTCCAAATGAAACTGAGCTTCTCCTACTGGTGGGAGCCTTGGAGGTGCTCAAACAGAGAGGGCTGATGACAGGGAGACCTCTATTGGTCAGCAGCAAGAGGCACGTGAGCAGGTATTCACTTTCCATTTACAGAATATCTTTGAGAATATAGAGCTGATTTTCCTGTCTACACTTATTAAATGAGGACAAAGCCCTTCATTTTATGAGTTTTTTGGGAAGGGGTAATGAGTAGAAGTTCAGTAGACTCCACTAAACTGGGAAAATCTATTTCTGGTGGTTTAAAACACTATGCACTGGGAAGGTCTTGCCAGTATAATCATAGAAAACTATGACCTATACAAAACTGGTTGGCTGAATTTGGCCAATGATCAGATCTTTCTTCACAGAAGATTATACACATTCTACAGAACAAACATAAAGGGGGTTTTAAACATCCAAAGAAACTGGAGGTTCTGGTTACTTTGGCCCATCTTAGCAAAAATGTCCCATCTTTTGTTTTCCCAACCCTACCATGTATTACAAAATTGACAAGTAAAGGCAGATCTAAAAAAAATTCAGTATCTGTACACAGCACTGAAACAGGAGGTGAGGAGGAAGGTGTGGGGTTGTGGTGACAACCAAGAAGGAATTTCCACTGAAGTTTTTGCCCTGCTGTGTCTCCAGGACAAGAAGTGAGGGTCATCAATGGGACACAGCAAAAAAAAAAAAGGGTTTTACAATTCCCTGCTCTATTCAGAACAAAAAATGTACCTCTATATATATACTTTGAGAAATAAACCCCTTTGTTTTTTGGGTCTGTGATGCAAGTGATGACGATGTTTTTAATTGTGAAGCCGTATTTCTGTTTTAAAATGGACATGTCCGTCACTACAACTTGTCTGGCGTAATAGTGGAATTGTAGTGTACGTTCTGGTTATTCAATAAATAGAGGCCCATGAGTACACTGAAGGCGTTGCTGTGGAAAATCTTGTAAAATGCAACCATCCATGTTTAGGAATGCTCTATTTCTACCCTGGCCTGCCTTCCAATTACTGGGATGCAGCAGAATGGGATACACAGCGCCATGAGGAGGGAGAGAGAAGCGGACAGAATACAATGAGGATAATTGGCTGAAAACAATTCTGTGATTTGTTCCACTCAATTTACCTTCATCCTCTCTGCTCGCTGTGACTCTGTACAGTTTGGTTTTTGTGCAGTTTACTCTTCTGAGGCAATTACAGGGATGCATTGAAATGATCCATTAAATTTCTGCCTCAATCTATTAATTCCCTGCAATTATCCACATACATTCTCCCTGAGTTCTACACTGAACAATTACAATAACATGCTAAACAGGTAATGGTAAGGAAGGGGGGTGATAGGGTGGATGTCTATATTTATACATTTCACTATTTTGCACTCAGATAGCAAACTATGTCTTTGGCCTATGAACAAGACAAATCAAAGGCTGCAAAGATGATATGTGATATGTGATGTTTAATGAGCAACAGCAACCAATGAGCTATCACTTTACTTTACGTAGGTCAGGTAATTTCTAATGGACAATTCCGATTGGTCGCTATGGTTTATTGTGAATTGCTTTGGCCATATTAATTGTTCATCGTTGCCTAGTACTATACAGCATCCTTTCTCAACCAGGGGTGCCATGGCACTCTGGGGTGCCTTCTGTCAGGGTGCCTTCATATTTTAGTCAAAGGCTTCTCAAGTGAAAGGGGGGCTCTGATTCAAAGGGAGAAACTCCACATCCTCTTTTTTGTTTTTTGACTGGGGTACCCATTAAAATCTATACCAGACACTTGTCTAAGCTATTGGTACTGATTTGGGGAGAAGAAGAACCACATCTTGTTTTTTTAAATTTTTAGGGTTAGGTTATATTTTAGATAGAGTGGCTCAAGATTTTACATAAATCTGCATAATCTTGCATATATCTTGCCTTTTAAAAGAAGCTGTAACTGAAAAATGGTTGAGAAACTCTGCTATAGTAAAGAGAAAGAAAAACTCAACTGATTGCTATGGTCAATTGCCATGTATGTTTTGCTTTGCTTTGCTTTAATCTCCTTATGTGCTCAGTAAAAGAGTGGTCCTCAACTGACTACAAGAACTTACACAGTTCTTTAGAAATAATAATGTAAGAAAACTAGTATAGAGTTAAATCAGAGTATACTACCTTGCAAAGCCTCTGAGATGCCTAAAACTAAATGTCAACCAATTATTAGCAAATGATGCAGAATATCCAGTGGAAAACTCTACTACTTCATCAAACGTTCAGACTGTCTAAGACAGAGGCTTCTGGTATATATTTTGATGCTGTAACATCAGGGAGGTACTGATAATTAGGAATAGCTTGAATTTCATAATATCCAATTGCAGGTCATTAAAGAGATTTAGAAGACAATTCCTTAAGAAAATAATAAGATTTATTCAGGATCTGATCTCTGTATCCACTTCGAACACTCTACTAGATTAAGCATGTTAAACACATGCATCTATTTCTCACAGCCTGGAGGAGTATATGAAATGAAAAAGGGTTAATTAATTGGGTGCAAAACTGATGCCATTCATTAACTAGCTTTTAATCGGAGCAAATAAATATAGTTATTTTTATTGCTAATATTTTTGTTTACAGATGA